TGAGTCAATACAATCAACTGGTTTTCCTTAGATAGAAAACTTTGAATCAATTTGACTGTATGATCTGGTTTAACTGTAAAGTGCCTTGAGATGACATGTGTGGTGAATTGGCGCTATAGAAATAAACTGAATTGAAAATTTAACATAGCAGCCCAGGACAGGTCTATGTGAAGGCAAATACTTACAATAACACCTTAAAAATGACTATTTTTCTTTTGAGACTTTCCTTAAAATATTTTAGAGGGGTTATAAAAATGTTTAAGTAAGAAAAAGTTATTATGGTCGGTAAAAAAAACCCCGCAAAATTGAAAACTAGAGTTCAGGAAGTGAATCTTAAATAAAATCTAAAAAGAAAAAAAGAAAACAGAAGCTGACAGATAAAAGTTGGAAATATTCCAACGCAGCAAATAATATCCCATGATGGACATTTTATGCTGCCTCGCTGTAGAATCAGCTCAACACTCACCAACATCCCTGAGATAAGAGTGACCACATTGGAGATGGCGTAGCCCATGCCTCGGGCCTTCTCGTGCAGGTTGATGTGCCTGAGCACGATGCCGTGCACCAGAGCTCCCAGCAGGAAGTTAACATGGCCGACCAGGATCACGCTCAGACCCATCTTCATCAGGGTTAGGGGTTCCTCCAGGTTGTCACAACACATTCCTAGAGAGGAGAGTTGGGGTCAGGCTCTAAGTGAGAAGGATTACTGACAGCATTTCAGCTACGCTGACCTTTTCATGTCGATCAGGGAGAGAAGCTCTCCTGATCGATAACCTGTGTTAATGATTGGCTGCTGAGCACATAACTACAGTACAGTTTGAGCACAACCAGCCTGCAGAATGATCTATGTTTTGGTTTAAAACAATGGAGACCTGGTGGATATCCAAGTTCTAAAAATATTCTCCAAGAGAACATTTCAATTCTCACTTTGGGTAGGAATAACAGAGATATTTATTATTATTAAAAAGTTTAATTAAATGCATATATAACTACCTAAAACTTTACATTTCAACATATTACTATTAATTTGGATCTTTAACCAAGAATGTAAGATTAGGACCTGATCAAAGTGTTTATTAAAGTCCTATAGACATCTTCTTTTAGCAGACATATGAGGTCAGTTTTCAGATTTATTGTCGCTCTGCAGTTTATATCACATTAAAAAACTAAAAATCTAAACAGGAAATTATCAAAACTTACCTGGCAAGTAAAGCTGGGCATTTATTTTTAGTTTATTGTTGATATAAATTTCTCGTCTTAATAAAAATTATTATTCATCATCTAAACCAAGGGTTTTCAAAGTGGGGGCAGGTGTCACAAGATGGTTTTTCACGATCACTAAAATGTGATACCCGAGTTATATGGAGGGCCAAAATATATAGATAAAAACAGAAATGTGAACGAAAAATAAAATTTATAAATTTGAAATGAAATAATTGTTTTGGACATTCATTTATGCATTTATTTAATTATCAAATACATGATTCATATATTAAATTATAATTAAATGTCCTATTAAAAAATTAAAATAGGTTTAAAAAAGTGCAAATACAAAAAAATGTAATTCAAAAACCAGAAATATTATTTCAAAGATAAATAAATATATAAAATTCAAAATTGTAAATGTCAATGAAAAATAAAATAAATTTACAATGAAATAATTATTGCTAATATTTATTTATTGATTTATTTATCACATGCATGATTCAAACATTAAATTGGAATTAAATGCCGTATTTAAAAATGGAAAAAAGTTTAAAAAGATGCAAATACATAAAATGTCATTCAAAAACAAAAAAATATAATTAAAAAAAGAATAATTAAAATATAGCATCAAAAATCACAAATGTGAATGAAAAATAAAATAAAATCATTATTGGCAACATTTATTTATTCTTCAAACACATAATTCAAACATTAAATCAATGTTAAATGTGCCATTGAAAATAAATAGAAATAAGTTTCAAAATATTAAAAAAAATAAATGTCAGTCAAGAAAACATTATTTAAAATGAATTTATTTACTGATATTTATGAACATATAAATTTAGAGTAAAGTTATTAAACATATTTTTAGGGGATCTCAAGTCCTTTGCATCGTTATTTTTGGGGTCAAAGGCCAACATGTTTGGGAACCCCCTAGTTTAAATGATAAATACAAAAAATATAAAAATAAAAAGGATTATTTGTTTGAATTTTTATTGTACTTGATTTCTTCTTTTTCTTATTTTCCTTTTCTTATTGTCAAATCCCTATAATCTAATTGAATGTGGTCACGGAGAGATATTTAGGGATATAAATTCACACTTGTTTATATAAATGGTGTCCTGAGGAAGCCCATTTCATTGGGCAATGAGTCAATGCAGACATAGTCATACAGTTCTGAGAAAGAAGGCTAAGAACTAATGAAGAGTTTTGCTTTATTCTCACTTTTATCCTTATCACGACGAAATATAATGCTAAGATTTTAAGTTAATATATTCCAGCCCTATGGGATTCAGATTGAATATGTGTAGCACTCAAGTTTAATATATATATATTTTTTTAGACTAATTCTGCCATGTTTTTAATCAATACCTATATCGTCTAACGACTATATTTAATTCAATTCAGTTTATTTCTATAGCGCCAATTCCCAACACATGTCATCTCAAGGCATTTTACAGTTCACCAGATCATCCAGTGAAATTGATTCAAAGTTTTCTATCTAAGGAAAACCAGTTGATTGCATCGACTCATTGACTCGAGGGCAATACCTCACACTAAGCATGCTTGCAGCGACAGTGGAGAGGAAAAACTCCCTTTTAACAGGAAGAAACCTCCAGCTGAACCAGGCTCAGTGTGAGCGGCCATCTGCTGAGGCCGACTGGGGTTCATTTAATTTTTAGCAGATCAGGTAACAAACAAAAGTATCTCCATAGGAAACCAAAACAACTTTGGCTATTCCTCTTTCAATTATAAAAACGGTAGTTTTGATCAAACAGATGTGATAACAGCAGCTAAATGTAGAGCAGCCATGTCTACTTCGCTTTGGCTGTGAGTTCATCAGATCTATTTATCCTATTTAAACACATGGATTCCAGATGAAATTCTGTGTGCTGATGAATATACAAATATCGCAGAATTTCAGCTTATAGGAAACATGACATATCTGTGAAGGTATAGAATTTGGAAGGAAAGAAATTATGAATTTAAATGAATTTTGTTGCATCATTGTTGCAAGCAAAGAACGCTTTTGTAAACAGAAATACATTTTAAAAAAAAAATAATTCTAGAGGTTTAACTTTAATACGACGGATTATTAGGGCCAGGTTAGAGATTTTCATTTTTTTTATTTTGAAAAAAAATTGTAATATTGCGAGAATAAAGTTGTAATATTATGAGAATAAAGTCGTAATATTAAGAAAGAAAAGTCACAATGAGAATATTCATAAAATTATGAGAATAAAGTCAAAAGATTACAAGAATAAAGTCCTAA